AACAAATACTGAATACTTTCACAGATTGAAATCATGAGTCAGTTGAAGCTAGGCCACCATGGATAACCTGGAAGCACTGAACGGCCGTTTCGTCCTAGTATGGGACTCCTCCACTGGATACGTTTATATTGCTTACCTAACCATTAAGAAACATAAACATGTTTATTGTTCTTATGCTCCTAAATAATAGAAATAACCATCCTGTGATCTTTTTTCACTACTTAGCTGTTTAAAAAGTAAAAGTGTTTGACATTGTCTAATTTCTGAGTTATGCACAAGTTCAATTGTAAATCAAACTTTGCTTTGAACTTGTTATCAACTTAAATACAAATCATTTCTGATATGAGATTCTGACATGACAAAATGTCTAAATTTTAGTTTAGGTAAATCCTAATGTTTTTCAATTACCAGTTTGTCTTAGTTATCCAAAATCCAAGTTTGAGGTCAGAGGTTCTGACATGTATTATTCAACGTTACAGCCAAGGTATTTGTATTACTACAGTCATTTCAAAATTATCAAATTATAAAGGCTTGATGAAACAACAAGCCCACTAGATAGCATTTGAGTAAATGTCGTCTAACCCATCAAAGCACCATAGTAACTTAAACCAAGTGATGGCATGAAAAGAAAGTAGGGCATGTTGCTGAACCATCATAACAGAGTAAAATAGTTATTTTTCAAGCTTTCTTGCTTGATTAAAACAAGATGTTAGTGCTATTCACTCGAGAATAGAGTTTCGTTTTTTTTTCTCAATGTACTTTGTTTGGATAATCGTTACTACATTACAATGCTCACTAAATGGAAATGAGAATCACTTAAAAATGTTTTAAACCATTTCAGTCAATGAAACCAGTTTTAAAATAGTCACTTGATAAATTTAGATAACGCAGATAAAACATGACGTTGTTGATGCTTTAGTCACATGAAAACTTAAACCCTCTCTCAATATTTCTTCAAAAAAATTCGTGATTATACTAAACATACCCTGGCAAGGTTGGACGTGACAGTTTCACATTAATTGGGTAAAAGGTTAACAATAAATATATTTTTCGTTATAACCCAATGAGCGGAAAAATCGTATTTCTTAAGTTTCGTGACTCAATATAAACCGCTTCTTCCTAGTGAATAAATAACAAACTCAAATTAACACAAATCTAAATAGTATTATTCATTTGCTTTGAATAAGTGGCTCACATTAAGTCACGGAACGTCGGATATACAATCTCTTCCCGTTAGTATTTAGGACTGCAATTGATCAGTCTCTTATTACAGTCCTAAACATCAATCGGAAGTTTCAAACAACCTCATTACACAAACTTGTGGCTATCTGTACTCAATAGCTGAATGGCGTTTGAAGCGATCGATGCTGGGTCCGAGACACGGAGTAAGCATCAACTCTGGGATGCAGGTACATCCAGCTGACTAGTCCCAAACAGATGTGGTTTATAAATTATTTTAAAAGGACATGTATTCCATGGATTATTTGAGGCAGAAGTTATTCTAATGGACTGAGATATTCTGTTGAAGTATGAATAGTGTATTGCAAAGTCATTCCAGTGTTATTACAAAGTAGTCGGAATTACCTACAGCTATAGGAAGAACGGAAACAGAGAGCACAGAATAATCAAAGCAAAGCTTACTGTGATAGGTTTGCCATTATATATGTGCTAGGTTGTTTTATGATTTACTAATTTAGATGGCTATTAGTCAAACTAATTAAAGTAACCAGGGCCAGTGTATATGCAAAATATATGCAAGAAGTTAGGTTTATTAAGTATACTCAGTTTAAAAAAGATCAAACAAATAGTGTCGATATGATTTCACTAGTGCAATGGGGATATTCACAGACGTGAGTACTTTAAAACATTTTTAGGAGTGAGGTAGCCATCGACGTACCGAACAAATTATACTTGTGATTTTATTTGACGGTAAACTAATCAAGAATTTCGAAAATCTACTTGCACGGTAAATCCGTAAGAGAGAAAATTCACTATGTGACATTTTTATTCTCGATATAGAGTTATAAATGTTATAACTAGGTGTTTCTGTATACTGAACTGCACCGGTGCACAAAAGCATTTATTTTTTTTATTTTGAAGAGGAAAAAGATCAAACTTAGTTTCTCCCTACTTCCATAAAGAGTCGAATCCAAGCTTTTCGCATGACAGTTTTAAATCGCCACCAGACAGATGTCAACCTAAGTTTATCCTTGCAGGAGCACTATTCAGAATAGAGTTGCATCAATAAATGAAATTTTGTTGGTTGCTAATAGATTTCAAATTTTATCTTGTAACGAAAGCTAACATTCCTATCGTCTAATTATTCTTAATTTAATCAATAAGTTGGCTTACACATTATCCATTCATTGTTCAACAATGCTCGGCACACCCACAAATGAAACAAACAGTTGTTCCGATTATGCACTTCAATACAGAAGTTTGGCTAAGATAAGTTTTTTACAATGTTGATACAAAGTTCCCAGTAGATAACAGTTGATATTTTGTAAACAGTCAGTAAAAACACAATATTGGTTCAGATAGAGCAGTGTATTAATTACGAGATATTGAGATAACTAGTGTGAAATTGGATAGATGGGAAGCATGTATAAGTGGCGTCAGTGCTTGACCGCCTAACTTCAGCTAGTCTGTGTTCCCTAAAATTAATGAAGGAGGCACATAATGTCTGATACTAAATTGTTTATGCTAGCCTTTCTTTGAAACTACAGTGTCAACGATCAGAACTTACTAAAGTAATTAGTTGTCTATTCACTGTCAAACATCTTTACAAAGTTCATATATAGTTTGAAATATCTTCTGTACACTTTTATTTATAAAATATTAAACGACTGTAAATAATATTTATGTGTACGATAGATAAACATTGGTTGATCGTCTAATAGAGTAATCAGTGTGAATAACTAGTCCTCATTCATGAATAATATCTAAAAAATACCGTTATTAGATACAGTTAATTGTTTTATATTGCAGTACACTGTACTGAAGGTTGAATGATCCAAATCTCGTAGATCCTGTTCTATGAAGAATCAGGTTAAATGTGTATGATGTAGAGGACTTCTGTAAATTAATGTTCGCAAGTTGTTCAAGATATCTTGAGACAGCTTGGTATATCAGTATTTTCTGATCATCAAATACCTGAGAGTGACAGTGGTGGAGATAATAGCTATCTTTGAACAAAGATTCCTTTAAAAATGGATAAACGTTCAACTGTGTGATCTTTAGTCTTACGAAATAATAATATTAGCAAATATGAAGTGATACAAGTTTTCGTGATATTAGAGGAGTATCTTGAATTCTTAGTTGTATGAGAAATTAGTGTCCCATACAAGTTTCTTGTGCTTTCTGTTCAACCATCAAGTAACCTACTTGCTTACTTAAGCCTATCACCACACCTGAAACAAAGTCCACAGACCAGAGATATCCAAACAACTCTGTTTTGGGTTCACCTTTCCAGTTGTTGCCAGGTTTCATTCGTGGTCGTGATGTCTGTCTTCAGTTCTCGTAGCTATATGTATTTTGATCTACCTTATTCCCTTTTGCCTCGAAGTTTTCAAGTTGTGGCTTGCCTTGCTATAAAGCTTAAAATCATCAAGTAAGCCAACATGGAAAACAAATCATATAAGGTCAGAATCTTATCCATCGGTTTTAAATTTATTCACTGATACAATCATTACTTCGTATCTTAAATGAACGCAACATTATTCTGAGCATTATAATACCAATTATATCATATTTCATTTTAAACATAGCAAACTTTTTTAAGGTTCTGGGCTTGATCCCTGATAGGCTCGTTGGTGGGCACTGCAAAGAAGTTCTACACTGCAACAAAACCGATATCCAGTTCATTCTGGCTTTTCAATGATTGTCCACCTATATTTAGTCCGTGATATGTGACAATCATCAGAGTGTGAAGCTGGGTGAGCGAGCTCGAATCAGACAAGGAGCACCAGTACCCTCAAGACTCCAGGCAAACCTTGTTGACTAACGAGTTCAGCCTATCATGAAACCTATACAGATTAGGGTCTTCTGTCTACTACACCTAATCTGTTAACATTTCAACATAGTTCACGCTAGTATGCATTGACTGATAGAACTCGATCATCGCTGAGCGACTAGATAAACGTGACAATGGTCACTGTTCAGTAACCGATCAACTATATTGAACAATCTCTACAAATTTCATACACCGGTTTGAGTTTCCTATTTAGTGAAATTGACACAAACCAAAAATCAATAGTCTTTAAGATACTATTTAAATAACTAAATTTTGGACAGTATTGATCTTCCTATCCATTTAAAATTATTTAGTAGATATAGAAAGGAAAATACTATGGTACCAAGCAATATATTCTATTGGTAAATATAATATAATCAGAGCTTGATTTGATGAAGTAGCGCATATATTTTACCATGAAATTTATTGTAATCATGCGAAGTTGCAATGTTCTTTACCTTTTCATAAGTTTACTGATAGTAGTAGAGGGAGGGAATATTTGGCCAAGATACCAAAATCATACCTAAATCTCTTATGGTTTATCATATTTAATTGAAGGCCAACTAACTCCCACGCAAATGATAAAAGTTATTCAATTTAAAATTGTTAATCATTAAATTACCCAATCAGTATCTAGAACTTGTAATTTGATCTGAGATTGGATAAAATTTCAAGGTCAGGCCATTGCCTTGATCTTAGACTTCATTGCTAATTTTCCCCAATCCGATCATTTGTTTTGTTGGGTTTGTACTCTAGTCCAAGTATTCTAGTTACTGTTTACTTAAATATATACGCAGATGTACTTATAACAAAGATTATTGATTTTGTCATAAAGGTCTAATGGATAATAATAAAAATAATTGAGTTAATCTTTGAAATTTCCAAAATTCTTCTCTGAACATCAATCTATATGAATACTAACAATAATTAGTATAAATAATTTGTAGACATTTTATAATGTCCGATATACAATGACAGGAATGTTTATTTTATTATAAGCAAATTGAATTACGTATTAAACACACGAGATAAAAATGAATACACGTTCAAACGGAAGACGTAATTCAGTGCTATTAAGATTGGATAGTGGATCAAAGGTACGTTTGTTTTTACGAGTAAATCTGTTTCAGTATTGATATTTGTAATGGATATGTTGTCTTAATTCTCCCTGAAATCATGCTCTACATGCGTCTATAGTTACAGGGAATTACATGAATTCCTAATCCTACTACCGTTTGGTAGCAAAAGTTAATATATGTATAATGAGCTATCTAGTAAAATGTTCCAGAGAAAATTGTAGTAATAACTTGTTGATATTTGAAAACGACATACAACACATGAGTAATCGTTGATTATGAGCGTCTGTTTTTATCACGGACTATTGCTTTGTCGTCACTTCAGAACTTTCATGTTTGAATTGCAATAAAACACATTTTTTCGTCATGTGGTTAATAGTTTGATAAATAAAGAAAATATCTTCCATCACAACAATCCTCCTATTGTCTTGTAATCAAAATCAAGACATTTATTAGTAGTGTAACCAAGTGTGTGTTTTGCGTACTCAAATTTCAGTTTCATCTTGTGCTAGAATTAATGATACAACTCAGTTGTCTAAGCTAATGTTAATTTTTGTCCAGGGGTTCAAACCTGTGGCCCAATAAACAAAGATCTAATAGTTTAATCATCAGCTAACCACGTTTTTATATCATAACGAAATCTCACTTTTATATTGAACTGTCAGTAATCGATTATTATATTATGAGAATTTATGTTAAGTTTCTAATTAATAGGCGAGGTTTAAGTCTTGAAAACCTTGGAAAAGAAATTATATTTGTGAGATATCCAACTATTAAAATCAATAATTGAACATGAATAGACAAAGTGTTTAGTACAAAATTATTTTTGGCCCTTAGTAATTTTGTTTATGATTATTTCTCTGAAGAACCTAATACTAGATTATTGGACTTGAATGTAATAATTATTTGATTTTAATCGATGAAATTTTCGGGAAGAAAAAAATTTTTTCCCAATGGTAATCATTATTAGTTGCTTCAATTTAAGATATTTCATAAGATAACTAAATAACTTAAATAGATTTTGGGGGATGTGCTAAAAAAGATCGAAATAAATTTTTAACACTTCATCACAAAATGATAAAAATCAAATAGACATGTCCGTTATGAACATTTGCATTGACTTAACGTTGACGTTTAATATAATGTAAATAGGACAATAGGACGAAATGATCGTCCAGTACTTCCGGGTTTACCATGATGCTTACTTATGCCTGTTACTCCTCGTGAAGGAGCACAGGCCGCTCACCAGCATTCGCCACCCAACCCTGTCCTGGGCGATCCTTTCCAGCTCCTATTTATCCTTTTCATATCTGCTTCTATTTCCCAACGTAATGTATTCTTTGGCCTTCCTCTTTTCCGTTTCCCTTCAGGATTCCAAGTCAGTACTTGCCTCGTGATGCAGTTTGATGATTTCCACAATGTGTGTCCTATTTATTTCCATCGTCTTTTCCTAATTTCTTCCTCAGCTGGGAGCTGGTTTGTCCTGCCTGTAGCTCTTCTAGAGTTACTGCCGATCCCAAGCCGAGGTAAAGGAGGAGGGTTGGGCATGGGATTAGCGACCCCATCCCGTAGATAACTAATTAGCCAAAAAAAAACGCTAAGCAGAAAAAAAATAATCCAAACCATTTCCATGATGGTCCAGCTTCAATTGACTCATGATTTCAACTATTGAGATCATGTAAGTAGTTGACAGTGTTTGAAAATTCATTTAGTAATTAAATTCCTAGACATTTAAATTTATCTTTCATTTCCTACTTTGACAAGCATTACTTATTTACATCAAATATCACGTGAAATGTACGTGCATCATTATCATTATGTTTTTAGTTGATGACGTTATTGAAAGTGATTTATTATTTAGACTAAACAACTAATTATCTAACTAAATATACTTCAGTAAAATATTTGTTTATTAAATTAAACGATTTTTGTTGTTGTTGAGATGCTTTTTTCATTTGGCTGTAATTTTCACATTATAAACAATTGGCTAACATCATCTGGGAATACATCTGTAGTGTGTACTTCCGAATAATTTCAGATTTGAATGAAATAAATTATCTAGTTCATTTTGATTTGCAATAATCTTCAAAAACTGATTTCAATTCATGGTGTAAATTATGAGTAAAACATTAAAATGTGAAATTTATTTCCAAATTTAATCATTTGTGAACTGCATTAACATGGGGAGATATAGTTATACATATTCAATAGCTGATTTATTTTCTATAACAAGAAACTAAGGGGAAAAAAGCAGGTTCATTTATCAGGCTACATATCTTTAATACGGGAGATTTGCAAAGAGTGTAATATTTTAACAGGCGAAATCATGAACTGATCTTAGCTGGATCGCCATTGAAGACCTGGAAGCATCAGACGGCCGTCTCGTCCTAGCATAGGACTCCTCAGTAGTGTCCATCCACCATCCTGCGCGTGAACCTAACCTTGGACCCTCGGTGTTGGGCGCGAACACTTAACCTTTAGACTACTAAGTCGGCATCAAACATTATTAATATCTAATTTCAATCAGTTGTTATCTTGCACAACCATTTGTCCACTGCCTGTAGTGGATAACCGTCTCACCCGACATGGATTGAACTCCCATGGTCACGGATTCTCGCCAGGACTTCGCGAGTTATATCTTGATGGGAATTAGATATTAGCCCCGTTCGATGGCGGGATCAGTGGTCTAGGGGTTAGGCGTTCGCGCGCGAGACCGAATGTCCTGAGTTTGAGTATAGGTTGTGTATGCTCATTCATGAGATGTCTCGTATCAAGACGAAACGGCCGTCTAGTGCTCCAAGGTTTTCAACGGTGGTCTAGTTACGATCAGTTGGTGACCTCAACTGTGTTAAATATCTACATCGATTGTAGTGGCTAAGGCATTTGCTACGCATATGTAACCATGACAGACCCCAAGATGCAGTGTTGGCTGATGAATATGTAACATGTCACTAACTGTCTTTTAGCCATATCGATATGTGCAAATTTATTGAGTGAGATCTATGTAATACTCAATCGTAGGCTTAAAATATCAAGTGACCTGGTACGTTATTGATCACCGTGACGCAAATGTCAAACATTCTAGCCTGGAATTGAGTGTCATAACATTTTTCGTCCTTCCTTCAGTACTGTATTCTTCATGTTCAAATTCTCGTTGTTTTCAATATTTTCCATCCTATGCTTCTCATCTTATTAAATTCTTGTTTATCTGATCTGAATTGTGGTAACTGGAACTAATGCACATGCATATCGGGTCCTTCGTTGACGACTGCTTAATGGATTGACGCTATTCAATTTTAAAGTGTAAATGCATATGGGATCCAAGTAACGAGATTCTTCTTATCGCGTCATTCAAATTATTTAACCTCATGCTCTAGATAACCATCCTCTTTTTCCTCATCAATTTTTATTTGGTCTTAATAATTTTTATAGGTCAATTCTAAATGACAATCAACTGAAAACATTTATAGTTCATGTGATATTTTTAGATTTAACTACATCAATAATAAAAATACAAAAGAATGAGAACCCTATCAGTAAAGAGTCAATAGTCAAACTTGTTATTTATAGTTTAAAGAAACTTCGATAGTGATTTGTTTTAAGTAATTACAGCAAAATGGATAAACGATAGTTAAAGAGGTGTTGACCAAACGAATCATAATTCTAAACTATATACTCATTCATATGTTATACCTTCTATGCTTTGAAGGTTCTCAAATCATATTTAGTCGACTTTCTTGTTTTTGTGTGAATCACAATATCGGATTTTACTTACATGCTTACTTATGCCTGTTACTCGTGAAGGAGTATAGGCCACTCACCAACATTCTCCATCCAACCCTGTCCTGGGCAATCCTTTCCAGCTCCTATTTATCCTTTTCATATCTGCTTCTATTTCCCGACGTAATGTGTTCTTTGGTCTTCCTCTTTTCCGTTTCCCTTCAGGATTCGAAGTTAGGGCTTGCTTCGTGATGCAGTTTGATGATTTCCACAATGTGTGTCCTATCCATTCCCATCGTTTTTCCCTTGTTTCTTCAGCTGGAAACTGGTTTGTTCTCTCCCACAGTAAACTGTTCCTGATGGTATCCAGCCAATGGATGTTGAGTATCGTGCGTAGACAACTTTATAAATGCTTGTACCTTCTTGATGGTGGTTGTCGTAGTTCTCCATGTTTCAGCTCCGTACAGTAGAACTGACTTTCTTGACGTTCGTATTGAAGATTCTCATTTTGATATTGGTTGAGAGTTGTTTTGAGTTCCATATGTTCTTCAGCTGTAGGAATGCTGTCATTGCTTTGCCACTCCTCGGCTTTACATCTGCATCTGATCCTCCTTGTTCATCGATGATGCTTCCCAGGTATGTGAAGGATTCCACATCTCCCAGAGTTTCGCCATTAAGAGTGATTGGGTTGGTGTTCTCCGTGTTGTACTTGAGGATCTTGGTGTTTCGTTTGTGTATGTTGAGGCGTACTGACGCAGAGACTGCTGCTACATTAGTTGTCTTCATCCGTATTTGTTCGTGTGTGTGGGATAGGAAGGCTAGGTTACCTGTGAAGTCGAAATCGTCTAATTGATTTTGTGCTATCCATTGTATTTCGTGTTTTTCCTCAGATGTCGAGGTCTTCATAATCCAGTCGACCACGAGAAGAAAGTGGAAGGGGGAGAGTAGACAGCCCTGTCTGACTCCGATCCTTACTTGGAATGCTTCTGTCTGCTGTCCTCCATGCACTACTTTGCACTGTAGTCCGTCGTATGAGTTCCAGATAACGTTGACACTCTTCTCAGGAACTCCGTAATGTCGAAGAAGTTTCCATAATGTCTTCCTATCCACACTGTCGAATGCCTTTTCATAATCAATGAAGTTGATGTATAGTGATGAGTTCCACTCAACTGACTGTTCGACGATGATCCGTAGTGTTTCAATTTGGTCTGTACATGACTGATCCTTACGGAATCCAGCTGGTTGACCTCGAAGTGGAGCGTCTACTGTGTCTTTCATCCGGTTTAGCAACACTCTGTTGA